TGCTGCTGCTACCACCACTACCAGTAACGTTACAGTAGCAATCAGAATCATGATCGTCACAACAGTTCGATTGGTAAGGTTCGTCATAATACTAGTGCTTATCTATCATGGTGGATTTAAGCAACACTTTATGGGCCTCAATCGATTCTGCAGCCCTTTGATTACAGAAGTGGGATTTTACCTGCATCTTGATCGCATTCTTTCTTGAGTTGTTCTTGTCGTTCTTTTTCCCTCCCTAGTGCTTGCTTGATTGCTTGCACCCTCCCTAATGCTCTCCCTCTCTCCTTCGTGTTTCTTTCATTCTCCTTGGTCGTTCCTGGATCATTTCTGTCTTTCTCTCCCTTTCTCTCTTCCTCTCCAGCGGCTTTCCCAAATTACCACCCCTCCGAAAGCAAAAAACGCACCGGACAAAAGAATACCCATCCAATGCTCAAGATTTCGCAAAACGCATAGCCCCCCAGCTCCCCCGGAACGCTGTTCGCAACTGCAGCACAGTCGGCAGCAATACGAAACGCAGACTAATACTGGCATCGTCGTCGTCCTTCTCGTCGTCGTCGGTGTCATCCCGCTCGTCGGCTAATGTCCCGCGCCTGTGGTTCAAGTGCACTCGAGAAAAGGGCGGTGCACAGGGGAAATGTTGCATCCGGAAGCTGTGCAGTCGTCTGTTTGTCGGAGTTGCAGTCTCGACTTTTATTGTCTCCCGGTTGATGCTTTCCTTTGCCCTTGGATTCCGGAGGAGCCAGGAAAAGCCGAACGAGGACGAAAGACCTCAACAAAAATCGAACTGTCACACCGCTCGCCCAATCAACTTTCAACTAACAGTGCAGTGAGCTCCACCAACGATCCCGTGAGGCTCTGTTCATGCCTACCACAATTTTTGACTGGGTCTTCCACCCATCATCTCCTGCTGGCACTTCGAAGTGCTTGTCGATTCGCATTTCGTTTGCGGTTTTGGGGTCCTCGTTGGTGGATTCCACCTCATCATCTTCTCTTTGGGTTTCGAGAGCCATCGTAGATGTCCCTTTCATGCCAACTAATTCCTACCTTTCGTCTACTTGCTCTCTATGTTTCTGCTTTCGTTCTTTCACTGCGTCCCTTAGTGCAAAAGCCGAAGGGCAGATAAACAATAACGCCAATGGGCACCGAATCAGTGAACGGAGCCTTGTGACCACATGGCACGAGAGCTGTGTCTTTTGGCACTGCCACGCAAATGCAGCAGATATCCTGTCAATGTGCAGAGTAGTACATGGCTTGCTCAGCCGCAAGTGCCCGAAACGGGGTCTGTCCTGCCCAGCTGCACGTTCAGCCATGACTTCCAAACCGTCGCTGCTGAAATCACTCGAATTCTCCTTTCAGCCAGGCGTAACGGTGTGCATCAATGTGGTGGGGACGATGGGCGATGTGTACTTTGCACAATGCCGTTTGGAAGTGACAGCAGCATTACGTACCAAATGCGCTCATGAGCCAGTCGCAGACCGAGGTGTCTGAGAACGTTCGATTCGGAGGACTTGGCAGCCGGTCTTCATTTGTGTCGGCTTGTGGACCACGAACTTCCGAGCGAATAATTAGTGTAAAAGCGCATCGTCAAACGGATGTACAACACATACGCTGCTGTTGAATCGGCATGACTTTTTCGGAACACACCTGTCCATGTCCTTTCGGGAAGACTCTGCCTGGATCCGGCTTACGCCTCACTCTGAATTCCATCAAGGCAACCTACGATCAGTACTCGTGGACTCGTGGTAGACAGAAGCAAGCGAAGGCAACCAAGCAGACGTCTACGATACGAAACGTGACCAAAGACTTGGCCACGCGGTAAGCTGACACGAAGTGACGTAACATGACAAAAAATCGGCACAAGAAACCGCCCGCTAACGACGTGTTAACCAAAAATTCCTACCAAAGGTGCCCCTGTTTGGTCGTAACACGAACTGCGCCCGGCCGGGCACACCGCCCGAAAACTCGGTGCCGGTGCCGGGGTGCAGACTTCTGCGCCCGCCCTCGGCATACCGGGGCGAGTGCCGGCCGGAAGTCTCGTGTCGGTCCCTTAAAAGGGTGGCGTGGGGGGGGGGGGGAAATCATAGATGCGATCGAGCCGACGGACTTCGGCGATCGCAAGCACTTGTTCCTACACGCACAAATGCATTACACAACAAGCGCCCCGCTTACGACGTGTTAGCCAAAAACAAACATTTTACTGAAGGTGCAGTGCCCTTTTTTGGTCGTAGCGCGAACTGCGCTTCTGCGCAGGCCCGGTGCACCTCTGGCACCTACCAATCTCGGGCGCCCGGTGGCAGGCGAAGTCGATGTCGATCGCCGCCTCGCAGAGGACGCCCATGACCTCGTCGACCAAAATAGATCTTGTAGACATTGACATTGACCATTGACCATCATGTAGACGAGAAGAAACTTCAGTGTCCCAGTCCTCAGTTCAGTGAAACCGAAGCCAAAGAAATAACCGCGAGGGACAAAACAGGGCACAGCCACACAAAGCCTTCTGAAACTCACACCCGCATTGAGCTACCGGTATCAACAGCATTGCGCCACAAGGACTCCCACCGGCGTAGCCACAAGGGCCAGAGCATCAACGCACCATTAACGCGAAAGCGCTGCCGAAGTAGCCCGTAAGGCTCGAGTGCTTAGAGGGCCCTCATGGCCGCCACCGAATTGCCACACAATTGCAGCACTGTTTCCTTCACGATGGCCATCCACGAAAGAATGTCCATGTCAAAGCGACGCCTCTGAAGACGACCTGTCGGCCATCCCAACCTACACAGAAGAGCATCCGCACAACACCGTTTTTGAAGGCCTTGCGGCCTCGGTGCATGAATACACTCAGCGCGCCCAAACAAGATAGCATGTGTAAGCTTTCGGCCATCCTTGACTTTTCACGCCATCGACTAAGTCTACTGATATTTTCTTGACGGCAGCACTCCTCGAGATCTCTTTCAACATGAACAATGACAATATTTATTAAGCGACAAAAAGACGGGTTCCCATCAAGCAAAGGGACTTTTGAATCTTGGTCTCCAGCTCATGAAGCTGGTTTCAAACACGCAAGAGCGGAGTGCTCACTACCTCGTCAAGACCGGATCTCAAACATTCTTCCAAGAAAGTTATGCAAAACTCTTTATGCTCTTTGTCTTTGTCTAAAGGACATAAAGTTGCCAGCCGGTTGAGAGAAGGTTTCGTTGAACCTACGGACTTTCGCTTTAGTGGCTTTGCTGCTCGTGGCGATATTCGTCCAAGCATCTCACCTTGGTACTGATTGCCAGCCTCCAGCAAGGCATGAAAAGGGTGTGATTGAAAGACTTCCATCTATCATCGGCAAAACCAGTGTCTCTGAGAGAACTACGTTCCATCAAGCAACCTACGCCATTGGGACATTTGGAATCCACAAGTTTAGGGAGCGAGGAGTCTGCAAGACGTGAGAGGGCGCATCAGCAAGACGCTGTTGCCACCGTTTTTGACGAGTTTGTGGTCACAGATCATATGGTCACTGACTCTAGACTCTAGGATTACTAGTCAAAGCATCTATCCCAAAAAGTAGTCAATGCATCGCTGACTGGCCCATCTCGTAGACGTGGGAGGAAAAACAGGCTCACAGTTGAGCTGGTTTTCTTCGGGCAGGCAATCAAATCACCTCCCACAAGCCGTCTTTGGTGAGAGAGCAACAACGCAGTCGCAGCAACCTCATCAGCAAGTTGAACTTTTTTCAGGGACAGGAGCAAGATAATATGAAACGACCCAGGGTGACCAAGGTCCCGTTGATCCACGCAACTTGCGCGGCTCCCCCCTCTTACCCTGGAGGACCAAAAGGGAGAAGACTTGCAGCAGGTTTTGATAAGAACCATGGTGCCGCCATGGGGCTTCTTGCCAGCAACTTCACAGCCTGCATAGTAATAGCAGTGAAAGCCTTTGTTAATCGCAGAGGACGAGAGTGCGTGGCTTCGTGAGGTAAAAGCGCCGTTGCTTGGACGCCCTCGAAGGGCAAAGGGCGAAGGCCCGCCCGGCTGCGCAGAGCATTTTCCCTGGCGACAAATGCCTCCTGGCGAGCCAGCCTGGCGCGGTTCTCTTCGTTTGGCCCCAGGGCTTCTTCGCACGAGGCGTCACCAACGCACACCACACACCGCCATACGACTCGAAGACCGACAGCTGCTTCTTGGCTGGCGGCGGAGGGCGACCGTCAAAACTTCGATGGAGCGCCACAAAAGTGGCGATGAAGATGTGCCCATGCGTCTGCACCCCGGCGTACTTGAAGCCTTTACAGGGGTCGATGCGGGGTACCACCCTAAGATGCAGGCGAAGAAAGGTCCACGGGCTCGATGTCAGCCATTTCACAAAGCCCGACGTGGGAGACGTGGCTTCAGCTCCAGCGCCCGTCGCGGGCATCTCCCGATGTAGTGGGTGGTGAAGGCGTAGTATACGAGTGCCGCACCACATCCAAGCCGGCCACCGCGGCGAAGTCGGCGTACTCTGTGGCGTCGGCGAGAGTCGAGGCCGATGCCATCACAGCGACGAGGGGCGAAAGGCGCAGGAAAAAGGCGATCGAACCGAATAAATTCGACGATCGCAAGCTTGTTCCTGTCTCTTGTGTCTACGGTTCGCTTCGGGACTTTCGGACCTAAACGACCTAGGTAACTGAACCTCCGTCCACAAACGGATTTCCGACACTAGCGTCAATCAACGTCGGAGTGGAATGCAAAGCCTATGGTTGCTGCGCATGCACATGTGAAGGCCATTCGCCCACCTCAGCTATTTTCTGCTTGAGCTCAGCCACCGCAATTCCCAGCATGAAGCTCACCAGCGCAAGGCCTGCGCACAAAGCTTGCGCAAAGCCGACGGTCTTATCCAAGCTTCGAGGTTCGAGGCAGGTGCAGAGGAACACGACGTATGGAAGCGTCAGGAGCAGCAGCAACCTGGGCATTCGCAAGTACACACATCTGATTAGTCTGGTAGCAAGGCAGTGACATGATCACATGGTGAAGCTCAGCTATGTCCATGTCAAACTCTTGCCGGCCGCTGCTTTGTAACAAGACGAAGCAGGAAACATGCTCGACACAGAGACACGTCCGGTAAAGAATCGGCATGTAACATATGCGACAAAGCGATATGCGCAATGCCAGCACCGGTCTCGAACTGCCTGACGAAGCAGAATGAGTGACACAAACGACGCACCACTTTCTGTAAATCTGTGATTTATGAACTGTGCCTACGCTGCTCGTTCCATTTGAGCTGGACAATCTAGCTTCCTGCGTTGTCCTGCATGCCAACAGGTTCCCAAGTTATGTCTAAGTGTAAACTGTAGACAACACTGCCACCACTCGGGCTGCTGCAGCCAAGATGGTGTCTGGCTCTTGCCATCAAACACACCTGGAAAGGTATCGCATGCGCAAATCAACAACCTGCAGCTGGTGTGCTGTGGCTGCGGCCTGCAAAGTCTTCGACTGCGAAGTTGATGCCTCAACATCCACCGCTTGCCCGCTGTGTCAACGCGCGCACTGGATGAAGAGCTGCAGAGTTCTCGGCTCCGAACAGACTGCTGCTGGAATCGACGTCGCCAGAAGCATGTGCATGAAGATGTGAAGCTGCGCAGAAGTTCGCAGAAGCAAATCAACCTATGCCACGTAGATCATGCATGAGCCGAGATGGAAAGGCTGCCCGACCTGGCTCACGACTAGGGCACCGTGAAACCCAATGGCTGCTAACCTTGGCAAAGATGTACTCCACAGGGCTTGTGCAAAGGACTTCTTCGGAAGAATATCTGTCGATCATCCTACCTGTATCGATATGCGTCACCTCAAAGTACGGCGACAGCACTACTTAAGAAAACATTGGATTCAGAAAACGAGACTCTGGATTTGGGGATTGAGGGGGTTCTCCTTGAAATACCAAGCGCTCTTAAAATAAGAAAGCCAGGGTACCCTCGTCCACGAGTCTCATTTTCTTATTTCGCTCTGTATAATACAAGTGTGCGTAAGCATGGCCTGTGCTGTGCAAGGGCTTTCTGGGATCGCCCGGCTCCTCGTATTCTTTAGTTGGGTTCCAAAACAACACAAAATAAGAAAATGCCACAGTCTCGTTTTCGTATTTTGGGGTGCGTTCTGGAACACAGGAAAATAAGAAAATGCCAGAGCCTCGTTTTCTTATTTAGGTGCGTTCTGGAACAAAGGAAATGAGGAAATGCCAGAGTCTCGTTTTCTCATTTAAGTGCGTTCTGGAACACAGGAAAATAAGAAAATGCCAGAGTCTCGTTTTCTTATTCATTGCGTTGTGGAACGACGCAATATAAGATCCGACAGCTCAGGGGCCCGTCCTACACCTCCAGAGTCCCGAACCTGCCTCGTTCGGAGGAAAGCTGTTTGAGCTACTGTAGAATGGGATAACGGAGCTGCATTCAATACTATGTTTGAAAATTCATGCCTTCATTAAGGGATCTTGGGCCTGCTGGGTTTGAGGTTGGGGAAAGTCGTCGTCTGTTCTTGGGCCCTGGACATGGCTATATAACTGCTATATAAGAAAACGGCCTTAAGCAAACCAGACTACCCTGACTCATCCTAGGTTAAATTTTGTCACAAAACCGGCCGCTATCAAAATAAGAACACCAGACCACCCTCGTCCCAGAAAATATTTTCTTATACAGCGCTCCGGCTGTAGACCGTTTTGGAACGAGTTCTAACTTTTTGTTGGGTACATTAGGCGGCTGCCCCTCTGGCTGATTGTTCCGTAGCATGCTGCAGAGTTTGCCGAAACACCTTCCCATTTTCCCCGACTTATCTCAAGACCAAAGGAACCGGCATTTAATAATTCAATGCGCTTGCAAGAAGTTTCTGCCATTCTGATGTGAGCCGGTGCTGAGCCCAAGATTTGTTTCCGCTGGCCACTTGTGGTTTGTCTGCGCTCTTCGATGGTCTGCCCCCTCAGAATGTTCCGCTTCGCGGTGGCCTGAAAACTCTCGCATCCAAGAGGCAGGAGGAGAACGGAGCTGACGATGAGGACCAGCGGGCTCCGACGAATATCAAATCCGACAAAGGACCTCAAGTGTGGGTAAACTCGTGCCATTCTGTGCTGGTGGACGCCGCCGCGTAGCTGAAAACTGCTTCAGGGGGCTGAGCACTGCAGCAATGACCATCCTTACAGGCTGCCGCTTCTGCGAGCAAGAGGTATGCTGCGGTTCATGGTTGCGAACCGCTCACACCTGTCAAATGCAAACAAGTGGCTCTATGCCTGTCGTCCATAGCACGCATTCTCTCCGGCCCAAGACCTGCAAAAGGCGGTCGGATGTGCTGTAGAGCACATCATCCCAAGTTCTGCGCTCGACAAGCACGTATGCTACGACAGCGGGACAACCTTAGCAAGGAAGTTACTGGCACACCTCAGCTGTTGTCCGCATGCAGGCTGTTGCTGCTGCCTTTGTGCCATTGGGAAACATTCACCGGTCGACCCTGCACATCTCTGTGTCGAATCCTTCAAAGCACCCCAACCCTTTCGTGTCAAGCTCTTGCAGCACAATCGCCATCCAGCAGGCTCTTGTCACAAGGCGGGCTGGCATCAAAGCTGAAGGGGGGCTGGCATGTCGGCTTTAGGTTTCAATTGTCCGGAGCCCTGACCAGAAGGAGGAAAACTTGGGAAGTGTATTTATTATTGCACGCATGGGGAGATTTTGCGAGATTAGTGTCTCACTGGTTCGTTGATAGCGGGCGATTCCGAAGTCTCTTTGAGGATACAATACGCTCTGCTGCTGCTGATGTGGAGGTAACAGTGGGGGCCGGGATCGGGTCACCGCATTTCGCAAGCTCACTGTACCTTGTGGAAGGAGTCCAGCACTTCAGGTGGCTGCCTTGCACTCTGCGTTTCGAGGTGGCCATGGTGAAGCCTCGAACCGCAGCGTCGCAAATTAAGGGCGCAGCGTAACGTCGTTCAATATGACACTGATTTCAGGGCGAAGCCGGTGCAGGCCTTACACCGTCGTGCGTGACACCAAGACAGCAATGCAACCAAGACAAAAGCACACATTTTCCACAAAATCAGCATTGCTGCTGAGATGCAGCTGAACTGTTTCCTGTTCGGGCCGCGGCTGCAAGAAACGCTAATGAATGCAGTCGCCGGCAAGGGCTGGCAAGCTTCGTCCTCTTCAGCCTTGTTGGCATTGCTCCGGCAGTCTTGAGTGGGCGTCGGAAGCTTTACATTACTAATTACCTCCTACATCGCCGTTCCTGGCGCGACTGACTCGAAACAGTGAAAGGCTTCCAGGCTTGATGCAGAGCTATGAATGCGATGTGCCATGTGCAGAAGCCTTTGCATGTTGCTTGGCCTTGAGCCGAAAGGGCTGATGAGGTACCAGGGGTCCCTCCCTCAGCAACGGTCCTGGACCAGATCACTGCCTCCCTTAAGCCCCGTCATGGCCGTTCCTGCTGTTCCTGATTATCTCCTTGCACGCACTGTCACTCATTAATTATTAATTCTCGTGATCGCTGCATTCCATGCCCTACAAGGTTGTCAAGATCCACTACAACTATCACAAAGCAGGTAGCATGCACGTACACCTGGTCAGCACTTCCCAGGCCTGCCACCCAACATGGTTCCAGCGACAAATTTTGTCAGAGCAGCTGTAGCACACTGTCCTCGAATCAGGCCTCGGCTGTGAATTTTCGGATTTCGTAAGGTCTGCTCTCGCACGACAGGACGTGCCTGGTGTCGCTTCGTCCAGATTTGTAACGAAGAACTCCATCACGATGGAAATTGAACCCATCGGCCTGCAAGTATTTGATGTCACGTGCTTCGCTGTTCTGAACAAGCGAACAAGCAGCGAGAGAGTCGTTCTGAAACATGAAAGGAGGCCAAAGACAGAGGCACAAACATGAGAGAGAGAGAGAGAGAGAGAGAGAGAGAGAGAGAGAGAGCGAGCGAGCGAGCGAGCGAGCGAGCGAGCGAGAGAGAGAGAACGAGCGAGCGAGAGACACCGAGACTGAGAGAACCAAACAAACACAGATGACGAAGACAGACAGACAAACAGACAGACAGACAGACAGGCACGCACACTCGAAACCCAGGCAAACCCTGGTGGTGGTTTTTCATGAGTGATATCAACTCCAATCAGAGTCAAGCAAGGACTCAGAGGAGACATCAAAGAAGAAAATGTTGTGGGAGGTCCTCAGTAGGCTCGGGTTACCTTGCTGCTGATTTACTAGGAAAGAAGCCAAAGATCTTGATTGGCACAGCGAAGATATCACATGATGTCCAGCATATACAGCTTGCACTACAATTGCGTCACAAGTTCGGAGCAGGTACGTGGCAGAAGCGTCCTTCTGCCATATCACGGATAGCCGATGAGCGTCTTTGTTAGTGCCGGACTCATCAGTATCCCCGGCACCCCCTGCTGTATACTGCAAGCGAACACTCCCGTTGTAGTTTGGGTTCCCCACACACATGCACCTCGTCGAGGGAACGCTGAGCCCGATCACCGAAGTACTGAGCCCGATCACTTGCTGGAACTCCGAAGTGCTGAGCCCGATTACCTGCTGGAACTCCGAAGTGCTGAGCCCGATCACTTGCTGGAACTCCGAAGTGCTGAGCCCGATTACCTGCTGGATCTCCGAAGTGCTGAGCCCGATCGCTTGCTGGAACTCTGGAACTCCAAAGCGCTGAGCCCGATCACCTGCAGGACTCCAAAGTGCAAGCCCGATCACCTGCTGGAACTCCGAAGTGCTGAGCCTATCCTCCGGCTTTTGCACATTCTTGATTTGAATGTTGATCTCCATGGCGTCGAGGTGAGGAGTTACTATTATTAAGCCACGGAAAAGACAAGAAAAAGTAAAACTTATGCGAGTATCGACGGCTCTAACCTTAACAGTCCACTCAACCAATACATCAGACATGAATTCAAGCATGACTTCAGACAACACGTCATGATATCATCACGATCAGCGTCTCCGCAAGTGTCAACTTTCATCTGAGACTTTCCGC